CAGTAACTTAATGCCATCTATGAAAATCGGGCACGAACTTATGCAATCATCCAATATAAGTATCCTAATATATGTATAATATAAAAATATTTAATACCTTAACGCATTTCTAAGATGTTTTATAAATTGTAGCAGTATAGGTGGATCATCTAGGATAAGGTCGAACTCGCCAACATTCTCCATATATTGAGGGTCGTTATTCCATAGTTTTAACTTCCATTGTGATTCCATTGTTAATGTAATACGAAGATCTTCTAGAGTTGGCAGTTCTTTTGATATTGTGCTTTTGATGAGATATGATTTCCTATAAAGAGTGGTATGAAATTATTAAATAATATTAAATAATGTTTAAATCGTAAGTTAACATTATAATAATGATAATATCATAAGATTGAAACTTACTCTTTTCAAATGTTTCCACTGTACATTTTCTAGGAAGTATGCGAGGCTTTGAAGTTCATCGTTTGAAGTTTGAAAAATGTATATTTTAAATCTATTCTTCTGTAGCCATAATCTGTTAGACGCACATTCGTATTCCATGAAACCAGTCAATTTAAATAATTTATATTTTGACCTGCAAATATAATATTACAATATTTTGTAAAAACAATTAAATTTAATGTGATATAAGATTGTACAATAAACTATATATATTTACCCAACAAACTTCTACGTCTTGCCAGATGTAGACCAATCACAGTATGGAATTAGCATCTTATTAAGATATTCCTGCTAAGATCATCTTGAAATAGGGACGGACTGTGAACACCGACCATAAATTTTTCGAATGTAATATGACGATGTTACATATGTTTTATGTTCTTTAGCTTTTGACATTTTGTCTTTATCTCTTTTGATTTTCCAGATGCTGTATTTATTCTCTCTCTTCCTCTATTGTTATTTCTTTTTGCAATCGCATATATCTTGACTCTTAAGGGGATCCAAAACCGACGAGCGAACTCCGACGGGTTAGCGCCCATACGGAACATGACAACCATTGGACGTCCATATAACCTCCATAACTCCATGCGACATCTATCTCCACAGTGGATATTGTACAGATTTCTAATAGAAATCCATATTATCTCTATGGTAGATGTCGTATATAAATCCATCATGGATGTCTATTAGACATCTGTTATGGATGTATGATAGATTTATACAAGTATGTTTCTAATAAAACAAAATTTAATTTTTATTTAAGTATTATTTAAAATTCTCAGCTAATGTTTTGAGAGTATACTTAAAAATGTGTAATATTATATATTCTATTTTTAATTTATATACAATTTAAATTTTTATTAAAATTTTTTACTAAACTAAAATATAATTAACAAAATTTTAATGCAAAACAAAAAATTTTTTTCATAATATAAAAAATCCGTGTGATGTAGAAAAACACGACAATATGTCAGATTCAAAAGAATCAGATTATTTTGAACCAATTGTTGAAGTTCTTATTGTCGATAGGAACCAGAAGATATCTGAAAATATTAAAATCATAGCTCCAGGACAAGATAAATATCCAGTCCCTTGGCACTTAACGGAAAATATCGATGAATTGTGCTTTCCAAAAATATTTGGAGGAGAAATTTTAGACAAAAAAAATAATTTGACGTACTCGCAACGAATTAAATTTGAATGCAGGCACAGAGATAGAAGATCATGTCAACCTACAAGAATTTTATTTATGGCTAAACAGAAATTGGAAAAGTCAGTAATGTCAAACATAATTATTTGCTTAAGGAGAGTGAAAAGAAATGATAATTTAACTGCGTTAAGAATTAAAGATCCGAAATTTTTAAACGATTCCATCCGTCATGACGATGGATACAAATTTTTGAAACAAGTGCGATCGTCACCCTCGTATTGGGAAAGCAAGAAAAAAGATTTATTTAATATGATCAGACAATGTGGTATTCCGATATTGTTCATTACGCTTTCCGCGTGTGAGCACAAAAACGTAGATTTATTAAAAATTTTATACAAAATACAAGAAAACAAAAACATCAGCATAAATGAGTAATGCAAGAATTTAAAAAAAAAAATATAATTATGTCTTTTGAAGACATGTTGGAACGATTAGAAATGACGGAAAGGGATTATATTCAAATAATTAGAAGCACGATATCAAATACTAAGATATTCTTGAAAAGACAAAGCAAGTTGCAATTAATGCATATAATAAAACTATATTGATTCTTCTTGAATCAAATATGGATATACAATTCGTTTTAGATCCATATAGTTGTGCTTCATACATGATTAATTATGTAACAAAAGTGGATGCAGGACTATCACGATTACTAAGAGAAGCAGCAAAAGATTTGGAAAATGGAAATTCGAATATTAGACAAAAGTTTAGAAAGATTGCTAACGTTTTTATAAACGGTAATACGATGTCTGCACAAGAAGCCGTTTATCATGTACTCGGCTTGCCACTTTCATTGTGCAGTAGAGCTCTTGTTTATATTAACACTGTACCGCAAAAAGAGCGTGTCCGTATGTTGAAAAATGACAAACATTAAAAAAAATTAGTGACGAATTAACAGATATATACTATAAAAATATAATTGAGAAGTACGAGAATCGGAATTATCAAAAAATGTCTAATGTTTGTCTTGCTGATTTTGCAGCGGATTATGAAGATAAAAGGACTACATACATGAGTGATAGCGATGAGGAATATAATGAAGATAATGAAACTAGAGAACGGAAAAAAACAAAATAATTAGATTTCGTCGTTACAAATTGCAAGATGATCGATATAATTATTTCAGAGAACAAGTTTTGTTATCCTTGCCTTGGAAAAAAGAAATAAATGATGTAGAGACACAAGATTGTGAAACGATTTATGTAGAGAATATTCATTTAATTGA